ATAAACAGACATGCTATTAAACAGTGAAAACAAAGACAAATATGTTTCAAACTTGCACGGTTTCACCCAAGTCATTATTCTATCATAATTCACAAAATGCATCAGATAATATTCCGGAAGTAAGAACTTATATAAACATTTAAAAGGACAACATATAGGTTTAGTGCATGTTCAAGGACAACATAAAAGGTAGTAGTTTATTCTTCAAACTTAAATTTACAACACTGTGAAGTTAGTATTTGTCTTTGTCTTTCGGTTGAAGTAATGCAATCCATTCAAGTTTCAATTTGCAGAAGAAGAATAGTTTCTGAAACTTAAAATCGCAACACGAAACTTAAAATCGCAACACGAAAATGATTATCGCAACGCGAATTTGACTATCGCAACACGAATTTGACTATCCCAACGCGAATTTGACTATCGCAATGAGAAAATCGCAACGCGAAATGACTATTGCAACGAGAAAATCGCAACGCGAAACCAAAATTGCAACGCGAAACTAAATTCGCGTTACGATAGTCATTTTCGCATTGCGATTATCCCGTTGCGATAGTCAAATTCGCGTTGCGATAGTCATTTCCACGTTGCGATAGTCATTTTCGCATTGCGATTATCGCTTTGTGATAGTCAAATTCGCGTTGCGATAATCATTTTCGTGTTGCGACTATTCTTCTTCTGCAAATTAAAACTTGAATGGATTGCATTACTTCAACCAAAAGACAAAGACAAATACTAACTTCACAGTGTTGCAAATTTAAGTTTGAAGAATAAACTACTACCGAATGAATTTACTAAGCAATCCAAAAGACAAATATGAATTTACTAACTTCAACCAAAAGATAAAACAAAGACAAATACTAAGTTATTTTAGAACTGTTTAGCAGTATTGGCAGCAACCGAATGAATTTACTAAGTAATCCAAGTAAAATGGTTAATCTAAGTGAAATTACGAGTAAATCAAGTTAAATGAAAAATCTTAAACTTACCTCGTTGCGTAGAGTATGAACCTCATTCTGCAACGATGTTACCATCTCAAGTAGAGCCGCTACCTCACCACGTAAAGTAGATACCTCCTCACGCCATTCACCATTGTCATCACGTAAAGTACTGACCTCCTCACGCAAGGCATTGACCTCATCACGTAACTCCCCTAACTCGTCCCGTGGAGGTGGAGAACAGGGAGATAAATGTCGTGGTATCTTTGCCGGTCGCCTATCATGAGGTGATGGTGAAGAAGAGGCTCGATGATGTGACAGAATAGGTGATGGCTCTTGTTGTAGATGTGTATAGTGTGGTCGATCAGGTGATGGCTGTGGGTGAGGTGATGGCTCTCGAATTGGAGGCTGCTCATCATCCATGCCATCAAAAATACGCTTACTAGCTTGCCACCAATCAGTGGCAAGCTCAGCCTCCGTGGGTGTCAGCCTCTGTAATGGAGTGTTGGCCTCCTAACAATATAAAAGCTCAAATAAAGTTAAATGTGTACTAGTAATATCTTGTTTATATATGGTAGTATTTGTGTTAACTTATATCATTTATTGTCGTATACCGTAGTAACTCTTCCCAAATCAACAGCTGTCGTTTCCTCTTCCAGGAAATAGCCCTAGGAATATCATTTGAAGTTTTGAATGCATATGTCTGCATGTCGGGAAAAGCCTCAAATATCCAAATCTACAAACAATATAATACACAAACATTAGTAATTGTTAAAATAATTAATTATAATTTTGGAAACATTATATAGAAATTATTACCTTAAAGGCCCAAATAAAACCAGATAAAGTGTATTTTGAACCATTGCCACGCAAACTTTTGCGGTCATCAAAGGCAGACGACAACTTATTCTAGGTAGCTTTCCATAGATACGAACCCCACGAAAATAGGTTTCATACATTTAGGTCCTCTACCAGTAATATTAGGTCCTTAGGAATAGGTTGTCTGCCCTCTCTGCCTAAAAAGTCAACATGTAAAAGTACTAAAAGGCATACTCGAACAACATCGACGTCATCCATCCGAGTAAAACCATCTTTCTTATTAAATAATCTCGTCAAGTCGTCGACGTGTAAATTCGGCTTCTCCATTGACAGCTCAGGAAAAACCCGGGATAACCATGATGGGCGGGTAATATGACTAGTGTATCGACATACATCATCGTGTCCGAAGCGTAGACCAGTGATTAAGCAAAACTTCTCCCGCCCAAAACACGTATACGCCGGTGGAAAATGAAACCATATCTCTTCATTACCACGTTCTATACTCTTGGGTAGATCGCGTGTCATGGTCTGAAGCCACAAATGGGTCAACATAGCATCTCCACCCGGATGTTGTACTTTCAGCCATGGCCCAAAGCAAGTATCCTCAAACAATTATCTTTGTACAGGTGAAAGCTTCGACGCAATTGTAGTGATTAGGCTTATTTTATTCCTTAAGGTCAATTGAGCCGAAAAAAAGTTCTACAAAAACAATAAACATACCAAAAACTACACTGTGAAGATATACAAAAAACAATAATAAACATAAAGCGTAGTAGTTTATTCTTCAAACTTAATTTTGCAACACTGTGAATTTCGTATTTGTCTTTGTTTTTTGGTTGAAGTAATGCAATTCATTCAAGTTTCAATTTGCAGAAGAAGAATAGTTTCTGAAACTTAAAATCGCAACACGAAAATGAAAATCGCAACAAGAAAATGATTATCGCAACGCGAATTTGACTATCGCAACGAGATAATCGCAACGCGAAATGGCTATCGCAACGCGAATTTTGTTGTTGCGATTTTCATTTCGCGTTGCGATTCTCGGTTTCAAATGGTCATTGTCTAAAATTGAAACTTGAATGAATTGCATTACTTCAACCAAAAGACAAAACAAAGACAAATACTAACTTCACAGGGTTAAAGACTAAACAGTAGCAGTATTGACAGCAATCGAATGAATTTAATAAGCAATCTAAGTGAAATGGTTAATCTATTATTGAAATTACTAGTAAACTTATCATTAATTTCAATATGAAAAACCTAATAATAATGCAAAAAATTCAAAATAAAAATAATTAAAAAAACTAACCCTCGGTGGTTAATTTGGTTGATTTTCCATTTCTGATCGTGAATGATTGTGAGGGTGGCTCTGAGAGATGGAGATAGACGGATTTTGTCGGAGATGGGGATGGATTTCGTCGGAAATGGGGACGGATTTCGTCGGAGATGGGGACGGATGTCACCGTAGAGAGTGAGAGATGGAGATGGGACTGAGTTGTGATTTAGGGTTTTAGGTTAAGAGTTGATATTACGGGTAAATATTCGTGTTTGGAATTTGAAAATAAAATACGTGTTGCGATACTAATGGCAAATCGCATTGCGATTTTATATTATCGCAACGCGAAAGTCATAATCGCGTTGCGATAGTCAGAATCGCGTTGCGATCACGTGTTATCGCGTTGCGATTTACATATTCGCATTGCGATTATCTAAAATCGCAATGCGGATTTCGAAAATCGCGTTGCGAATTTGGAACTGAATTGCGATAATGGAGATCGCGTTGCGATTTAGAGATCGCATTACGATTTTGTTGGTCATTTTGGCAAATCATAAAAAAGTTTGTTAAAATCGTATATTATAAGGAATTTTTGGTCACTGAAGTTATTTTCTCTAAAAATAAACTGATATCTTTCCTAAAATAAATAATTATTACTATTATTTGCCCGCATCTCTCTCTGTCTCTCTCTCTCATTCTCTTAACATAGCTTAAACATGTTTTGGTTGATGAGTGCTTTTATATATTTTCTTTTGGGTAGGCAATCAATGAGAAGGTAGTGTCACTGAATTACGAGGACAATACAGCTGAGATTAAAACTGCAGATGCTCAAGACTCTTTTGAGAAAGGAGTCATTGTACTAGTAACTGGATGCTTAACCGGAAAGGACAATGTGAGAAGGAAATTCACACAAACCTTCTTTCTAGCTCCCCAAGACAAAGGTTACTTTTTCTTAAATTATGTTTTTTAGATATGTTGAGGACAAAGAGTTGCAAAGCTCCATTCCAGTTAACGACATCAATGAACAGGCTTCAACATCTGCCTTGGCACCAGAACCAGGTTAGACTTGATTCTCTCATTTTATGAATTATGTTTATACTTTCCTCACGCTCAAATCTTGGAATTGATTTTTCTTCCTAAGCCAGCTCATGACCATCTTGTGGAGGACCCAATATCATACGCAGAAGATGAAGATATTAATAGTGGTGCTGAAGTTCTTAATCCCTCGGATAATGAGGAAGGATCGGGTTATTGAAGAAGTTATTGAACCCCAAAACATTGTAACTCATCAGGAGAGTGTTCTGACTATTGATTCAGCTCCTGCAGTTTTAGAGGATGCACCTAAGAAATCATATGCTTCAATTGTGAGTTAATGTTAATGGTTTTTTCTTTTTTGTCATGATTTGGGTGGTCCTGTTATTTTTTATTGAACTTACCAACTTACATATTAGGTCAAAGTAATAAAAAGTAACACAGCTTTGACTCCGGTCTATGTTCCTACCAATAACGTGAGGGTGACGGCGGCACCCAAAGAACCACATTCAATTATTTCTGCAAAACCTGCTTTGGTCACTAAGGCAACATTAACTAACAGTGATAATGCACCTGAAAGTAGCAATGACAATGAGGAAGGTAATTGCCAACTCCATTTATGCACGCTTGAATAATAATAGCAGCATATATATATTTTTATCTTCGTCAATGAAATTAGATCCATACCTTTTCAGATTTCAATGAATAAAGAATTAAAGATATCAATTATGGGTTTAAAGAAGACGTATGTGATTTGCTGCATGGTTGACGACATATAATTTATTTTTCTATTTGATATATCTTGATACATATTCTTTTCCTTTTGTTTTAAAGATATCTATTTGAAGGACACTCCATATATGTACGGAACTTGCCTTGCACTGCAACACCTGCACAACTTTAGGTGGCATTTAAAAAATTTGGGCCCATTAAACACGATGGCATCCAAGTCTGAAGCAATAAGGTTGACTAAGATATTGATTTTGGCTTCTCCAATTTTCCTCTCTAGTTGATACTTGACATTTCAAGTTCAAGTTCTTGGTTCTTACTGTTTTTGTGTATTTTTTTTCCTCCTGCAACAGGGATTCATGTTCGGGTTCGTGGAATTCGAGAATGCAAGTTCAGTTCAGAGTGCACTTGAGGTATGATCACTAACATAATTCACTATTCCATTCAGTTACTTACCTGACAACATTTAATTAGTCTCTACACTACAGCAAAACTGTACATTTTCAGCATTTTTTTTACTTATAGCGGCGGTTTTAAGCGCCGCAAAAAACACCTGCGGCGCTATGACAAACGCCGCAAAAAGCGCCGATGAAAATAGCGTCGCTAAAGTTCGCGGCGTTTGGTAACAAAAAACGTCGCAATAGGTAACGATATATAGCGGCGTTTGTCCAACAAACGCCGCAATAGGTGTTGAGATTTAGCGGCGTTTTTCCAACAAACGCCGCAATAGGTGTTGAGATTTAACGGCATTTTTTTCACAAATGCCGTAATAGGTCTTGAGATTTAGCAGCATTTTTCCCACAAACACCGCAAAAGATCTGGTATATAGCGGCGTTTTTTTATAACAAACGCCGCAAAAGGTCATATCTATAGCGGCGTTTTAAGATATAAACGCCGCTAATTACCTCTCTATAGCTAAAAGAAATTGATTTTGCAAATTAAAACTAATTTTTCAAATGTTGTTTTCTACTCTTTTATTACCCAAATTTAACTTGTAGCATTTTCCAATAAACTTGACATCCATAACAACTAACTTAAAATCCATAACAAGAAAAATGAAATCCATAATAATAAATCAAAGTTTACATTAAAGTAAAATATAATGTAGTTCAACATTATTAACTATAATAAACAATAATATCTAAGATATTTTGCTTCTAATCTTACACATTCTTCAAAACTCTTCTTCACATTGAGGCGCTTAAATTCAAAAAGATAAATCCAGTTTATATGGGAAAACAATGATACAGAGCTAGTATCGTCCTGTCATTTCTTGCATAGATATTTTGCTTCATGAGGTCTTACTCCAATTGGCATACCACTTGAAAAGGCCCCATCCATGGCAATGCAAACCCGATCTCTAGTTTCATATCCAAATAAATCATCAGTTTATATGAAAATCCATTATATCTTACGTTAAAAAAGTTAACAACACATTTCTGCATAGTCAGTCCCAGCAGTCAACAACTCTATGGCATGGGCAACCATCATGATGATAAGAAAAATATAGAGATAGATTTTAATAATTGTGCAGAAACATCCAAGCTTGAATTTCATGATAACTTCTAACAGCTTATTGGACCAAACATATTTTAAATCAATAGCACCCAGAAAAAGGCTCCAAAACTACATTCCTAACAAACAGAAAGATATAAAGATGAAAATATGACAGCTTACCAAGGACCAAATCCTTTCAAGCATTCTGCTAAAACAACCTGAGAACAGACAAAAGCACAATCTAACTTAAAGATAAGGAAGCAAAAAGAGAATTTAACGGAGATTGTAAATTAATATTTTATCCCCATTTGTCACCTCAGTATTTTCCCCAAGAATTTCAATTATAAGCCCCATCAACTTATGTGCAGAGGCCATTGGTTTCAATTGAATGCTTTTCTGTGCCAAACTGTACATGCTTTCTAACCCCTAACAGAAGAAAATAAATAAACGAGATATGTAATACAAGGAAAGTACATACCACTGTGAATGGCCTGATGTATAACAAGTGAGAAATATATAATTCTATCCAATGGCATGTTGCAGAGCAGAGACTATTAGCATTACCCAACATTATTTGTAACATACTTCTCAAACCCTGATGAGTCTGCTGGTGAGCACACTGAACATTATTTGTAACGAGTAGCAGCATTTGTAACATACCTCTATTGTTTTTATCAGCCACATTCCACAAGTTCATCTATTTAATGGAACATCTCAGAGATTAAAATTTCTACAGTTCTTGAACAATTAATTATATAGATTATTCCATTAGAAGAAAAAAAAAATACATTCAGCACCTACTAATATAAATCAATTTTATCTTTGTTACTACCTCATGTTTGCAATAGATTTAGAAGTAACATCAAATCCATATCTCATATTCCATTTCGTAAAGAAAAAACATGAAAATCTATCCATAAAAAAGTTTTGCAATACTAGAAAGGAACTCAAATATATTATTTTCACAGTTGCTAATTAAAGGTTTTGTAAAGATCCTACCAGTAGTTGAGGGTTCAGGTCAAAACCCCACACAATATCGGACAAACCGAGGCGGATCTAGCAGACTTATCTTGTGTCCATAATGAGAAAATATTTTCTTCTATTGAAACATCCTTTGAACCGAATGAAAGCTGACAAAATAATCTCCAGAGCCCCTACTAGCAAAACCGGATTCTTCCAACGAATACAAAGTAAATTATATTTATCATAATAATGATCATTATTTCATCAACATCCTATGCAAAAAAGAGCAAACAGATTTACATGTCGGAAAGGGTGGTAATGTACCACATGGCACACTTCTAAATGATGATCTAAAATAGTTTACCATGATTAATTCATAATAATGTACTGATTCAATGGACTTGCAAGTGATACATATATGCCTCCATAAGAAAGATTTTTAAATGTTGCAGTATGGTTCCATGCAAGAAATAAAAAAGTGACAATGAAAAGAAAGGAAAAAGAAGTCATGAATCCTAATACCCGCCATGCACATAAACATGAGTTGATGGCTTATAAAAAATTTCGAACTCCTGGAGTAAAGGACCCACTCCCCATCAGGGTACATGATGTGATCTTGACTAGCAATACCCAACCCAAATTTTGTAATGGTCTTTGTGTTTCTTTTGAGCCATCTTTATCTTAGACGATAGGATGCACTAAGGACCTAATTTATACGTGGATCAGGATGCAAGCCCACATACCAATCTTTATGAACTTTTATACGTGGTACCTCTAATGTATCAGTCATCAAGTACCCTGAAGCCCTAAAAAACCAACCCTTGGACAAATTAGCATTCCAACACCACAATAATGAGTTCCTCTACCAAATAGAGATCATTTTCTCTAAAGTGACATAATTAAGAAAAACAACCTGAAAAAAAGCACTTCACCATTGTAGGTAGCTAGAGCGATTTCCCTCACACCATCTTTATCAATATCATACAAGAGAGGACTATAATGCACGGTTGACTGGTGAAAAGTAGGCCAACCTGACAAATTATTGAAAACTCAATGACATCAACTTCGATCGGATTGCTCTAGATTCATCGATAAGTTCGATTTAACATGATCTAGGGAAAGCGAAGCACTAGTACCTGGCATTTTATCGCCATCAGAACCTTCTAAAACTTCAAGGTAGTGAAGAAATGAGGGAACCACTATGTCAAGCTTCCCATCACTAAAAATTACACAATCTGGCGGGAGTTAGTTAAATTATTCTGTATGATGAGTTTACTCAAAAAAGATGAGCAGATTTTCGAAAGGGGAAATAAAAAGAATTGAGATTTTTTAACATAGTCAAAGCATAGATGCGATGAAAACACGAACTCAAAAGGTAAGAGTAAACTACCTATTGATATCAGCAATTAAGGGAGTTGCATAAATGCTGGAGCTGACCTCCATTTGCCATCTAAGTTCTAACTTCTTTGGGCACTGTGTATTCAACAACGCATCCTCATCCCTACACATTCATATACACAAAATATGTTTTCAAATAACAATAACTCCTATGATTGAATCGAAAATGAAAAATAATAAAAATAAAATTGAGATAGAAAGGACTTACAGTTCGGGATAACCAAGCTCGTCGTCGGTGGCCTTTCGTTGACGTAATTTATTATTGGATTCATCGCCGAGCAGTAGTATGAAAGGACCCTTCAAGCAGCAACGAGTAGCAGCAGTTGTTTTCGATAAAATTAGGTTTAGAATTCAATTTCAAGGGGGGAAATGTTCTCGCAGGATTTAAGTAACACCTATTGCGGCGTTTGTAACAAAACGCCGCTAATGTACTTATCATTAGCGGCGTTTTTAGATACAAACGCCGCTAAATACCTTTATTTATATAAGATTAACATATTTTAAATATTTCATTTCTTCTATACATAACCTAAAGTTACAACCATACATTTTAATTAAGACAGAAGTACTTATGCATAAAACTACTTAACAACAAAATACATTATAATTTAGAAACATTAAAGTACTTATGCATAAACAGTCTTCACCATACATTATAATTTGGAAACATTAAAGTACTTATGCATAAATAGTCTTCAACATACATTATAATTTAGAAACATTAAAGTACTTATGCATAAACAGTCTTCACCATATTGTTCAGTACAATTTAGTCTTCATTGCTCCTTCGTGGGGAAATGACGTAGGAAAGTTGTTTTCCTTGTTTGACGATGCATCGTTAAGTTTTTCCTCTGTGTAAATTCTATATGGAGAAACTCTTCATCCATTTCACCAAATAAATCTCCTACCTCCGGTTCACCAAGAAGACTCCTTGCGCGCTTCAGTGCTTCACTTGAAACAGATAACGACCCTCCACCTACAGTATAAAACTTGATTGGAGGTGCTTGGGAATTGAATCAAACATTAAAATATATTTAAACAGATGATATAAATGTTTACTTGTAGTAACAGTAGAGGCAACATCGTCTTCATTGAGGATCGATACTGCTTTTGCAATTGAAGATTCTTTCAACGCCACAGAGTTACCAAATTTGTTTCTAAACATGGGGTATTTATCCATTTCTCTATCATCATTCTCAATAAGCTTCGAAGATCCTATATGTGTACGATAACTTAAATTTGAGTGACCGTACAAAAAGGGAAATATAGTGGCATAAAGATTCATAGAATTTTACCTTCAAGTAGGAGATCGGCCATGGAAGGGTATGGAGCAATATGAGTTCCTGTCGAGTCATCATCGAGTTTCGACGGCGAAACCGGACCGATAGCCTCCCAGCGATAATTTGATCCATCGTCAGAGCAAAGACGCCACGTAGACATTCCGACGATAATTTCTCTTACTCAAGGCAAGACTTGTTCTTTTTTTCTCAAATATGTTAGCTGTTAGCTTTCTGGGTTTTCCCCATTTTCATAATACCAACCAAAACAAAATTGAAAAAGATCATTAGTGATAAGAGGGATCAAATCGTGGAATTGTGTTATAGTTCGTCGGTGAGAGGGCCGATTTGGTCGCCGGGATAGACAAAAGACGACGTCGCTTGGAATCGTGTGAGGGTCGTTGTTGTACCAGAGAAGAAAGTATGAGGGAAGAAGAGTTGAAATGATTTTAGGGTTTGGGTGGGAGAAAAGGGAGGACAATATATTTAACATTTTGCGGCGTTTTTAAAAAACGCCACTATATCACATGTTTTTTACGGCGTTTATACAAAAAACGCCGCTAATTTACCACTCTATTGCGGCGTTTTTGGTATAAACGCCGCTAAATGTTAAATATATTGCGGCGTTTTAGCTAAAACGCCGCTACATGTCTACTATATTGCGGCGTTTTTACTATAAACGCCGCTACATGTCTACTATATTACGGCGTTTTTACTATAAATGCCGCTATTGTTTAACCTTTATGTGGCGTTTGTCTAAAAACGACGCAAAAACTATTATTAATTACGGCGTTTGTTGAAAAAACGCCACTATATACCATCCTATGGCGGCGTTTTTAACAAAAACGCCGCTATATTTATACTCTATTACAGCGTTTTCACAAAAAACACCGCTAAAGTCTCAATTTGTGGCGTTTGGATTGAAAAGGCTGCTATATGTAATACTTTTGTGGCATTTTATCAACAAATGCCGCTAAAAACGCCGCTACAGAACAGTTTTGCTATAGCGCTACCAAATACATACCATGTGTCATACAAGTTCTGTTAAGTTTTTCCCAAAAAATTATAATTACTTTAATGTTAGACAAAAACAGAAATGTTTTGTTCATGAGGTTAAGCTGTCTTGATATTTACAATCATGTCAACAGCCCCTTCCCTTGACCTAAAACAAAGTACTACCTCGAAAAGATAAGAAACAAGAAATAAAGCCCAAAATCAGGTCAATGTTTAGAGATGGTTTGGGTCAGGGCATGTGAACATGTGGTTTTGACAACTCAAATTGTATCTGATTTGATGACTTCTGTAGAACTTCCTTTGATAAACCCTACTGGTTTTTAAAGTAATAAAACCAGCTGGTCTGAAATAATAAATGCACCTTGATCCGATGTTTTTCTGTTCTTCTGCAACTTTTAGTCAGTATATATACAATCATAGAAATGGATCCGGAACCGTGTAATGTTTTCTGTAATTTAGATCTTATATTTTTCCTTGTATCAGTCACTTTTCAGTTGCACTAATTTGCAGCTTTGCTGACTTAAGTTGGAAAATCCAAAAGCGTAAGCCCACTAAGTTGTAACTGGTATCTTTTAGATGTAGTAAAATTTTACATTAATGCGCCTTCCCTTTGTACAATTCTAAGGTCCTAACCTCAACCAAAGCTTTAGATTACCATTCATCCCTTATTTTTGCTGCTTTCTCAACTGCATGACCGTATTCGTTGCAAAACTTAAATTTGATATTATTGAGGGACCTCGGTTTTATATAATAAGCTAAGAAGTATTTGTAGAATCCCTTGTTAATCTCGGACAGACTTCCTTCTTTGTTTTCGTATGGTTAATCTTTGAATTTATGGATGTGCTCTTGCATTCCAGTCTTCACCAATTACTATTGGGGATCGTCAAGCTGCTGTTGAAGAAAAGATGACTGATACTCGAGGTAATTCAAAATTTAGAATTTTGATGCTGAAATTTGATCAAATTTCCATTTGTCCCCAATATTTTTTTACTCAAATCAAACGTTTAGTTCATCCAATAATAGAACCTTAGTTCATCCAATAATAGAACCGAAATTAATAAGGATATGATCTCTAAAAGGTAGCTATCGTGCAATACTTTCAATTTAGCTAGCCATGAATTGTATGAAGAGACTTTGTTCATATTCAGATTCACCCTTTCGACATATTTGTTTGATCAGTGAGATGTTCGGGATGTTGCTTCTCACCTTGTTTCTATCATATTTTCTTGCAAATACATGGTGTGGTATCTATTTGCTTCGGTGAATAATCTAGGATAACTTTGAAAACCTGAAATATTTTGCAGTTGGTAGCAGTGGGACGGGACTGGAAGAGGAAGGTATGCTTCAGGTAAAACGGGGTTCCGGAGTGACAATTTCAGGGGTCGAGGGAACTTCAGTGGTGGCCGAGGAGGCTACGGCAGGAATGAATTCAGAAACCAGGGGGAATTTTCAGGACGACCAAAGGGTTCTGGTGGATGGAACGGAGATAACTATCAGCGAGTTAATCAAAATGGAAGGGGCGGTCGTCAAGGTGGTGCCGGGGTGAAACCATGATTCAGTTGCTTCAACATTAGCTGAGAAAGTGACCAGGTTATTATTATTTTTGAAGGTATAAACAAGGAGATGAGGGCCATTAGAATTCAAGTTGTCGATTTTCATAAATTCCACTTGTGAAGGAGACCATTTAAAAAAAAAAAAAAAATTGGAGCGACGTGTTGAAGATTATTTGATCAAAATTTTGATATAATCCTCGTATTCAATTTGACCACAAATCTTCCATTTGTATAGTTTTAATCACTTCCTTTGACTGATTTGAAAGCTCGAGCTAATGACACTGATTTCGACTCATTGATTTTTGTTTTTGTTCAGTAAACATAACTATAGCATGATGAATGTACCTAATAATTCAAATTCTCTTATTAGTCCTTGTATCATGCGTAAGATGCAGATTTAGCCATTGTATTTTAGTTTGATTAGTTAGTCCGTACTTTTTAAATTTTAAAAATTCAATCTCTACTTAAATAATACATAGGCAATACGCCTAAATCATAGGGACTTAAAATATCAAATTGGAGAACGTAAACTAAATCTACATCTTAGGTAGAATACAAGGACTAAAAATGACCAATTTGTATATGCGGACTAAATCCACAACTTTTACATAGTAGAAGGACTAATAGAAGAACTTGACCTAAAAATTATCTCCATTTTAGGACATAAATAAATCTTTGATGTTTTCACTAAAATTAAGAATTACAATAAGTTATGTATTAATCAACAAAGGCAAAACCAAAAACACACATATCTACATATATGCATATAACGTGTATTTTGAAGCATCTTCCGGTGCTTAAACTTCTCAACAGCATGATGAACAACAAGAGAAAGCAAGAGATAAGAAGCCCCAAACTTCAACAGGATCCTCGTTGGTCGCTTTCGGAACAACACAAGCTCACGCACACGCATATACACGTATGTGTGTATATAAATGCATGTCTTTTGAAGCATCCTCGGGAAGAATGATCATGAACAAGATAAGCAGCAAAAGCAAGTGAACCGTTTTTTAGAACCTGCATTCTTTTGAGATTCTGATACAAGGTTCTCCGGTTTAGAGGTCTCTTGAGGGTCCCCTGATTCAGGGTCTCCCGATTTAGGGGTTTTCGAAGGGGTATCTGGATTTTGTGATTGGTTTTTTTTGTTCTGTGAACCTTTTTGGAATGAACCACCTTTCTCTCCATCTGTCAATCTTCATTAAAAACAAATACACACATGTATATCAGTTAATGTTTATGATGCTGATTAAGAACTTCAGATGTTCAAAGTAGTGATTTATGTCGAGGCCGCGTACGCATTACAGTCTCAACATTAATGAGACTTCGGTATCGAATGTCACAGTACTTCACACCAATCTGCAACATATCATCTACCTATTTGTGTCCTAGATGTTGATTCGCGACAAATACTTAGCATTAACAAAGAGAACCCAGTTTTGACCATGCAAGCAAAGTATCAAACACCAGATAAATGGCATGGAATGTTGATGAATTTGCTTGGTAATTAGAGTTGAAAATTTGAGGTTAGTGAGAAAACTTACATAGGGAAGGCGAAAGATTTGACGCTGGTATCCGAAAGCTGAGATAAAGTACGGGCATGAGGTGCTGATTCCACAGTAGCCGCGGTCAGTTCAGCAACACCCTCCGGACAATCCCGACCATTCGTGCTCATTTCAGCGAATAGTCTAGTCGTTGGGAGATCCATCAATGGACTCGAAATGGTTAACTGATCGCAGTTGTAACTGAAATCGCTGGATTTAGACATCAAATTCATTTGCTCCTTGTTGAAACTCGTGTTCTCTGCGTGAATGCTGAACAACGATTCATTCGAAGCCGCGCTCCATCCAACTTCGTTCGCAGTGCTTGTTCTGAAGACACGAGATGGTACACGACCCGAAGTTTCCGATGGAGAGATTGACGTGGTAATACCATCGGTGGATTGATCTTTATTGGAGGAAGCGGGCGACAAAGACGAGTGAGACGAGGATCTTTTATGATCTTTACTTACATCCCCTGATTCCATAGCTGACATGTCTGAGAAATCAAATAGCCACTAGTCCTATATCACCAAATCGAGGAGTTCATTCTGTGTATAAAATAAGAAACAAAAATAGGCTTCAAATCGATCAAATGTTCCGCTTGGGGCAAGACAATAAAATGGGGAAAACAATTGGAAAGTCGCATGAAAATCAACAAACCTTCAACTCAACCTGTATCGTCTTGGATTTCGTGTATGGATCAACAGATTGAAAAACCAAGAAACAAGACAACCTGAAACCCAAAAAAGAAGACAGAGAGAATGCTGGATGAGAAAATAGAGAGGAAAATTTTAGGGTCTATAATTGTTAATAGGCTTAACCAACTTTCTTAACGACCTTACCCGCCATTATTAACCACCTGTTTCTCAAGTCTAATTTTGTTGTGCTTTTCTTTGTTTTCTATTTACGGACAGTGATTATTTAATTTTTATTCTTAGCTGACCTTATTTTTATCAGTTCCTAATAAAATTTAAATAATTGGAAAAAGAACATTTATTCTTGTCACTTCCTTGGTTATCCTTGTTGAAGAAATGGAATTGAAGTTTTGTTTTCAACTATATTTGCAACAAGTTCTTTTATTTTTTTTTGTTTTTTAAGGTTTTTTTGACTTAGTCATATTGATGTATTAATAGTGAGCTTATGAAGCAACTGCTCTAATAATTTGTACTTACAAAGTAAAATTTACAAGAAATTGATGAACATTTATGATTTGAATACAATATGGAGAGAATTCGTGTGGGGAGCCATAACTGGAGCTTCTGAAGAGGGGGATGATGCATCCCATTGACACCATAAAGACAAGAATTCAAAGTTAAGCTCTTCTTAATTGAAGTAAGGTATGATGATATTCAGTAATAAAACCAAGATTTACAACTATGGATGGAAAAATCTTGTAACAATCTTCGTGCGAGGGTGGAAGAAGGGATGAAAAAGAATAATACTTAGTTGGCAGGTCGATTATATATATCATTCAAGTGGTAGAGCCGATCATATTTCAATCAGTCGACATGATCGAACATATAACATAACTAATATAAGTGCACTAAGAACTTAAAAACAAATAATGTTTTATCGGAAAACTTAAGAGAAAAGAACACTTTTATTGATACAAAATACAATTACAATATTACCCACTTACCCCATTACTTTACTCTTCTCTACCTCTAAGCTCTCTTTCTCTAGTTCACACTTTTGACACCATTTTTTTTCACTTTTTAACTCTTACTACAATGGTAAAATTCATTCCTGTCGTAACCGGTTTTCGTCCGGGCACGAAATATTAAATTTTGGCGGGGAAATTGATGTGAATAAATAATTTTGAAAATAATTTGAGAGTCGCCATCGGCCTTTTGGGTCAGGTAGGTCGAATACCTAAAAATTATCTTTTAAAAAAAGTTTTTAAGAAAACATTATTTAAAAGATGCACTGATCTGCGTTTTATAACCAAAAATTCGTTCTTTTTAATAATAAAAAGGGATTCGTGGTCGGTTACGTTTAGGGAAGGATTAGCACCCCTACAACGCCCAAAATTGGTACTTTTTAATTATAAATTGTCTCTATTATTAAAATTTAAAAATTCAAAAAATATATTTAATTTATAATCCTATTATTTCAAAATTATATAAAAATATTTATTTATTTAAAAATATCCGAAAAGAACTTCTAGGTGCCTCAAGACAGCTCTTTTCTTTGACATTGATAAATATTGATTTAAATAATATTGTTTACTTTTTAATTATAAAATATCAGAATAGGACATCCAGTTGTATTAAGACTGTCCTTTTCTTCGATATTAAAAAACAAATATTAAAAAAATATTTATTATATGTATATATATAAAAATATTTAACAGTATAATAAAATAAAAATATCACTAAAACAATATATTTTAAGCAATAAAATGAAAACATATAAAAATAAATAACTAAATTATGAATAAAATAAAACTAAATCTAATTCCTAATTAATTGAAATTATAGGGATTAAATATTTTATTTTCTAATTTTAATAATTTAATGACCAAAATGAATTTATTTAAAATTTAAATTTTATAACAAAATTAATTAAAAATATGAACTAGGGATGAAAACTTTATTTATTAAAATTAAGGGATTAAATCTGTTATTTATCCTAAACATATTATTTTAATAAAAAGGACTAAAATGAATAAAATTAAAATTCAAAGACTGAATTAAAATTATTATAAATTCAGTTTAGTGACCAAATGTAAAATTTACAAATACGAAGGACTGCGGACGGGGTTTAACTATTTCATAATTACGCGCATAGTCCTTCCCGAAACGACGTCGTTCGGGAAGGACTATATATGTCCAAAAACCGGCTGGCCCGAAGGGCCAGCTTCATTTCATCATTTCTGTTCTCTCTCTAACTGAGAGAGAACAAATTTCTCTCTGCCCTCTCTCTAGCTTCCCTCATCGGAGGGAAGCCGGTCACCGGACGGCAACCGTCTGCCGCCGTGACCATCACCGCCGGCCACCGCATCCGGTGGCCGGAAAAAAAGATTTTTACACTAATATATAGATCGGACCGTCCTAAGGACGGTTCCGGTGTTATTTCTTCCTAAAAGGCTCCCAATCGGAGCAAATCTACAAAAGTACCTTCGTTGTTTCGAAGGTTCCGGTGAGATCTGGTAGTCGGAGCTTCCTCGGTAAGTTCTCTTCTTCCTTTTTCCTTCTTTTTTTGTTTCTGCTTATGGGATATTTGGCTGAGATCGTTGGTTAGTATTTTTTTCTTTTTCTGTGTGTTTGTTTTTTTCTTTTCCGTTCTCTGTTTTTTTCTCTCTGTTTTTCTCTCTTTTCTTTTTTTTTTCTTCGCAGGTGGGGTGGTGGCTTTTATAGCCACCACCGTTGTAGCCGTCGGACCGGTCCGAAGAAGGGCTCTCGGTGAGTCACCGGACTACCAGTGGTGACTCACCGAGTAGCCATGGCGTGGACGGCTGCCATTTTATCTTCTGGAGTCTTTGGTTGGGACGTGGCAGCGGTGTGGCGGCGAGAAGACTGTCGG